AACAACAACAACAACAACAACAACAACAACAACAACAACAACAACAACAACAACAACAACAACAACAACAACAACAACAACAACAACAACAACAACAACAACAAAAGGAGTTTCTGTTGCAGCTGGTGCTGGTGCTGCTGTTGTTATTATTATTCTTTATTCTGACGAGCAGCTACAACAGACACTCATTGCTGTGCATCTTATTTATATACAGTCAGACCTCGCATAACCGCACACATCAGTTTTCCACAAAAATATCCAGATAGGCGAGGGAACCGGATAATCAAACACACATACTGTAGGTATGCATGGCATATGCTGTAAATCGGTAACCAGCGATAGTCTTCTGGATGGCGAGGGATCCGGATAAGCGAGGACCGGATAAGCGAGGTCTGACAGTATCTTACAACGATCAGATATGGATAGTGTAACAGGAGAAGCAGAACCAACAGGAACAACTCAATGCAAAGCATGGCATGGCATGGCATGGCATACAGGTGGCATTTAGGTCGGGTAGTGAGCTACTCAACTCACGACAGGACAGTTCGAGTTGTAAGCTTACCTCACCCTTAGCCGCAGACGTTGGTTCCTGCACCTCGACAAGCTTTCCACCCGTAGCGCTTTGAACTAGCCGGTGCACAAAGTTATCTGCAACGCATTCAACGACATCAACAGTTATAGATCAAGTTGTGCAGTCGAACAGTGGACAGAAAGGCTAGATGGCTGTAACTCAAACTTTCATGCACAGCCGTGCAATCATCAGACGTCAGATGCATATTTACATGAAGTTGTACTCAATCTGCGCACAAGACTGTTTCGTCCTTTGTGGACTCATCAGCGCAGCACAGAGAAAATTGAGGCCTAACCTGATAGCAATGAAAAAAATTTCAAAGCCAGATTTAAACCAGGCCCGAACGTACCTCGCCACAGTGCTCAGACTGACAAGTCAGTGAGCTCTCCATAACGCAAACAGCAAAGGCACTACCCCAGATGAGAGTCATCTACTAGTACAAGAGCAGGAGCATCAAGTTGAAAATATTAAAATAGAACATCAAGTTGTAAATATACACATGTGTGTGACAAAAAAGTGCCGTTCAGTGAGTCCAGCAATCAGCAGCACCAGCCCCAACAGTAGCAGCCATCAGCAGCACCAGCCCCAACAGTAGCAGCACCAGCACCAGCACCAGCAGTGGTGGAAGTAGCAGCCTCAGCAGCAGCAGCAATACCTACCTCCGGCGTAGTCCCAGACGCTCTGGTTCGAAACATCCATGGCATAAGTATGCTGAGTTGCCAAGAAGTGACTGCAATACAGTGAAGGAAGACAAATGCACAAGACACAATCACAACGACAGACAAGCGGACAATAACTTAGCCTACTATCCATTATCCAATGAACAAAGAGATTTAAACTCGGATACTGAGCCAGTAATAAATGTATAAAAAAAAGAGAAGAAACACATCGTCTTGTTACAGTCGTGGATAGTTACTGCATAACTCGTTCTCATGTGGTTCTTCTCTTTTCGAACAAAGATATGTCAGTCATTATGACAGGACAAACAACAGGTCAGTCAACAATAGTCTATACTGTACTGTCTCGTATAAAATCCGGTCTCAACACTTGTAGAAGCCTGTTCTGAATTCAAGCCCGCCTTTCAAGATGCACTGTTGGTACATAGGTGTACGCCTGGTTGCAGCTTCTTTACTATAAATTTATCCTTGGCCCTCCATCCGAGTCCATTCTAATTTGTTTGAAGTTTTATTTTACATCGCAAACCAAACGGGCATTGATGCCCAATTTTATGATGGCGATAGAACAAAAAGTGTGCCTGGTTTTAGTGTTAACATACAAAGAACTACCTGATTTGAATAGAAGCCTAGCCCTGGTATCTGAATATCGGCTTCTACAGGAATAAGCCGGGCCTTTTGTTTATAGAGAACATTACGACATCAGGCATACTGCATGTATGCCGGTACATACGTTTCCGCGTGGCCTTCTGCGTAGCGACCACATCCGACATGTCCGCATATCAAGCATATCCATAAACTCTACACACGACAGAGGGACAGCACAAGAGGAAAGGAAATGGGGAAAAAGGAACATATAGCCATGATTATGATCGAACTTTTACACGAAAGGAAAAACAGTTTCGTTTATGGGTGGGTGGGTCAAGGAGAGTTTCGTTTTGAAAAATATTGATACGTGAGACATCAGTACATTCTAGCTGTCAAGTCAATCTATTTTCCGTTCGGGGGGGGGGGGGGGGGAGGGTCCTAACTAAACTTTTTCGTTCGTGAAAATTATCGATAATGCCAGATGGCCCCTTAGCTCATACCTGTACTTGTATAATGCAGGCTATAATAAATGGACCTTGCATGTCCATGGCAATACGGGTAGGCTCAAGATGAGGAACGAACCCACAGGAAAAAGCAATTCCGGGATTAGAGTACGAGCAGCGCTTATCTTGCTCGCTCTTAGAACGACCCAGCAGTAGAGTGCTCAGTACAATTGTATAGCCGGCGATAACGCGGACGTGTAAACTTTACTTTTACACACAGAAAGCAAATACAGTACTGCCGGGCGCCGAAGAACGGAGCGCCGAAGAACGGAGCGCCGAAGAACGACCAGCCTAGAATTTCACCAAGCACAGCATACCAACTGTTATGTGCGCGTATATGCATGCGGTGATTCAACTGTGCATAGACTGTACTACATGAGAATAAGAACGATATAGGCTAGGAGGCTAGGCAGTTCTTTAGCGACCAACAGTACTGTACAGGGCAAATGTAAGTGTCCAAGACCACTTAGTGTACATTGCAACATTACATCGTGACTGCCGCAGTCCATACAGCGATTGTCTCCCACCGGTTCAGGGCTCAGCACATAGCGACACAGTGGACATCTGCAACAGAAACAGAGAGAGAGAGAGAGAGAGAGAGAGAGAGAGAGAGAGAGAGAGAGAGAGAGAGAGAGAGAGAGAGAGAGAGAGAGAGAGAGAGAGAGAGAGTATGTGCGAGAAGAGAGAGAGAGAGAGAGAGAGAGAGAGAGAGAGAGAGAGAGAGAGGCTGGAGGCTGGGGGGTTCTCGTATGCATCACTTCAATTACCGTAAAGTACAGTTGATCCCCCCCCCCCCCCCCCCACGCCGTGTCGCTTCCCAGCTGGTTTTTCGGCAGCGGGCGGGAATTAGATCAAGTCGTTCAAGTGCAGTACGATGTACAAACAAAGCAGAAGATCAGACCTGGAATGCTGGATTGTGCACATTTTCATCCTGCACATGCACATGCACGTACTGTGTACAGTCAACTTCGCTTATAACGACACCTGGCTGGGCATCAAAAAAGTGTCCTTATTCGCGAAGTGTCGTTATACCAGAAGTCTCATTATATGTATTACAGTTAGAAAGGACTTAGGCTCTGGGTATGGAAATGCTGTCGTTATTTGCGAATTGTCGTTATATCCGCAGTCGTTATTAGCGAAGTTGACAGTACATGCGTCCGTTCAACATCGTATTTCGTTGTATACGCCGACGTCGCTTCACAGGCAGAAAATTGACAGGGGGGGGGGGGGGGTAGAGAGGGGGCGGATCAACGGTACCTTAGGGTACATACAGAAGAAATGGGGAGTCATAACATCTATGATGAGTTCGAGGAGAGTCTGGTACAACCAGAACAGTCACGGTTAAGTAAGACTGATATCCAGTGCGGCAGGAATGGTCATTGCTAGAACAGAAGGCACTCAGCAGACACTCAGCTTACAGGTTGTCCTGTAGAGGTGCCAGGCAGTTTGAATGAAACGTATGATTACACAGCGCAGTCAACACGGATTCGTCCTGAACACAGAGTGGTGAGGAAACATACACACACACACACACACACACACACACACACACACACACACACACACACACACACACACACACACACACACTACTACTACTACTACTACTATGTACAGCTACCCTATCGGGCCACGCCGCTCCCAGAAGCGGGAGACAACGACAAGAAGAGAGAAGAGAAGAGAGAGAAATCGCAAAGTCAACAATATTTGGCATGGCGTTGCAAGTCCTGTGGCCTTGAGAACCGTCTTTCGCAATGCTCGCATTCATGACGGCAGTTGTTCCTGGCTGCACGTGACATCCGTTTCGCACGGTCACAGTGATGACGGCTCAAACCAGAACGACACACACACACACACACACACACACACACACACACACACACACACACGCAAGCACGCACGCACACGCACATGCATGCACGCACACACACACACACACACACACACACACACACACACACACACATATGGAAAACACAGAACACACAGAATTCTCAGTGTCAACGAGCCAAACGGGGGTGGACAACGTGGTGCACTCTCTCCTGCTTCGCGGGCTGTTGCGAAAATTATTGCAAAAACAGGACGAACAGTTAACACCCCCACACCCACACCCACTCACCCACATGTGCATACATGCACTCACAGACCGGATTGCGACAGCACGATGATAATATAGCGTTGAGTTACCAAAGAGAGACGACACAACGAACAGAGAGAGACTACTGACTACTCATTACTCACCAGCTTTTCCAGACACACTGGGCAGTTAGGCAATTCTGTTGCGCCTGTCGGTGGCAAAGATGCACCCTGTGAACAGATGTAATCGGCCACGTCAGGACAAGAGAAAGCAGCATGCATATGCGCGCGCACACACACACACACACACACACACACACACACACACACACACACACACACACACACACATGTATATACACATGCATCTACCCATACACCAATGCAGACGACGTCCACGTGCACAAACAAACGTATCCCGTAATGACCTGACACTTGTGAACTGGCTCAGGGCTCAAACGTGATGCACTCGATCGGATTTCATTGAGCAGCACCGCACATTACGCTGCAAACACAATACCGGTAGTCTGCACACTGACCTGCTCCGTTTTGAGAATTTCTAGCTTGGACACGAATGCAATGCTGCACACCTACAGAAAGACATTGCGTAGGAAGACATTGTGCACAAAAACATTACGGAGAAAGTTAGCATATGTACATAGAAAGACATTGCATAGGAAGACATTGTGCACAAAGACATTACAGAGAAAGTTAGCATTTCATGTACATAGAAAGACATTGCACAGGAAGACATTGTGCACAAAGACATCACAGAGAAAGTTAGCATATGTACACAGAAAGACATTGCGTAGGAAGACATTGTGCACAAAGACAATACACAGACCGTTAGCACATATACACAGAAAGACATTGCACAACAAATTTTAAAATCTTGACTGACGAAGAATGCACCAGCCACGAAACGACTGCCATGCAAAGAGTTACTGGAAACAGAGTGCTGCTGTAACCTGTGAACAGCCCATGTTAGACTGACTTGAGTGAGAACAGATACATGCCGAGTTCCCATAGCAACCATGGCGGCCTGACTACATAACAAAGGTTAGTCGTGTACATACCCCTGGTTCCAGCATGTTGAACTGACGGCCGAGAAAGTAGCGATAGAACTCATTGGCCCGTACCTCCGTATAGAAGCCAATTAGCGCCATGTATTGATTGGGCGCCGAGTCACGGATTATACGCACATTCTTGATGTAGCGACTGAACATACATACACACACATGCGCGCACGCATGCACACACACCAACATACACACACACACACACACACACACACACACACACACACACACACACACACACATACTCACCCGCGCCCGCACCCACAACAGCAACGACGACAACAATGATTACACGACGACAGCAAAACATCGTTGGTTTGAGCTGATGGAAAGTCACTCTGCTTAATTCGTGAAGTGCAACAAAGGAAAAGAAGAAAACAAGCTTGGAGGAACAGAGAGCGAGACAGAGAGGACTTGAGTTCTATAGACAGTCAAGTCCAGCCACCTCAATCAATCAAAAACAAGGATGGACTTTGAAAAACAGACCCAGGAAACAATGACAACTATTGAACGTATACGTTATCTTACCCGAACGGTGAAACAAACTTGACAAGTTCGGAGCAAGACACATCCGCAGGCACGGCGAGGAGACACACCATGAGGTGATTAGCCGTGCGCTGCCTGTGGAACACATTCACATTCGCACACGTTTCCCACACATCCATACGAATAATCGCACGCAAAGACACGATACAAAACATGTATAGAGTGAACATTTCATCCAAAGACATCAAGTACAAAGGAGAAGTTTTCCACGTGGTATCCTTGTTGGGATCGCCTTGCGAACCACAATAAACTTTCAGGCACAGAACAGAACAACCAGTTGGAAAAAAAGAAGAAAAAAAGTATGACCGTCCCCGGGTGGGCTTGAACCACCAACCTTTCGGTTAACAGCCGAACGCGCTAACCGATTGCGCCACGGAGACTGGGTGATACTCAGCCCATCAAGATAAGCCCAAATGTCCAACACAACAGCGGAACCTACTTACTTCAAGCATCTGTTTTATGACTGCATCAAACGGAGCTCTCAGCAGAGCACAATTGTAGTGACCTCATGGGTTGGATGGGCAAGAAGTTTCCAGAACAGCAATAGGGCTTGAAAGTGCTACGTCACAGCATAGCAACAATTTCAAAAATTCAAAAACTGGATCCACTTGGATCCAGTTTTTGTATGGATCCAAGCACATTTCAAGCGGTCTTACCCACAGCATGGTGATGTAGCCAGTGAAACTGACTGATTTGGCTAGTGGGGGTGGGGTTACAACTGGTGGCGAAATAAAAGTCACACCTGCATGCGACATGAGTGGGTTGCTATGCACCCACATACTTAGGCAATAGCAAAGTCACACCTTAGTGGATCCAAAAATAGAAATCTGATGTCAACTTACTACTCCCTGGCCGTTTTGACGTCATCACTTTCAAGCCCTATTGTAAAGCCTTTTACTAGTTTAGAGAGCCACACACAGGCAATCTCCGATCATTGCGACCACCCCCTGCATCTATGGGTCACATGATGTCGGCCATGTTGGTTTCACTGTACACATGACATGATCACTTTCTACACAAATTTAGTCACATGACAAACTGATGTGAACACATACAGTACGATGTACGGTATATCAGGAAAGGTCTGGAAAACTGCACAGGCCCTTGTGCAACCTACCCCGGGCTATAGAGATGGACGAGACCCTTGGTGACTTCGATCATGGGATTGCCGGCAAAGAACGTCTGCTTGGCAGGGAAGTCAGCTAACGGAGCGCAGAGCGATGATGATGGTGACCCGTCACGCTCCAGCGTTGTCTTGCTGTCCGACTTGTCGCTTTCTTTTCCTGCACAGCGAACAGACACATTCACAAGCTCTAAAACGGGGAAATATCTGCAACAAATCAGACAGTAGCCATCAGAGCTGCTGCTGCCAGCCAACCAGCCAGCCAACCCACTCTCCATATGACTGTAAACTCGGCTTACTTAGAGCTCATAGCTGAACTGAGGAGGCCTTTATACTTTATAGCTGAATTGATGAGGTCTTTACGGCCGACACAGCGTGCTGTGTACAGCATTGGGTATGGCTGTAAAATACAGATTATCAAGAAGGCAATGCCAGGAAATCGGATGAGTTGCACAGTCATCACTGGCGCACACACAGACACAATGGTAAGGTAAACTGGTGATCATCAAGAGTGCACTTTTCCCAACACGCTGCATACTCTCTGTGTGTTTCATGCACTCTTGGTGGGAGGCCATGCCCTATGCACAGCATACTGTAGTGTCTTGTATCGAATAGAAGCCTGATTTTGAAGATACAGTGAGTATCGTTTATAAAGTGACCGGGTGTAACGATATACCGGCTATAATGATCGAACTCGCCAAAATCAAAATCAAATCACAAAAAATACAGCTAAAATATCACTATACACACTATTATCGGCTATACCGATATATCGCTTATTGTGATGGGCTTCAGGAAGCAAACCATATCAAATGCACAGGAAAATACCGTATATACTGATCAAGAGTGATGATCACAAAACAATTGTTCTTCAAATTTAGTTTATTTCTTCCAAAACTGATCCAGTGTTGCCTGGATGCATCTGGCAGCAGACGTGATTGAGAGAAAATTCTTCCCTGTATGCTGTAAGCAGCCACATATACACGTGGCTGCTTTTCATGCTTTTTCCAGCATGTACGCATCATTTCATGCACAGTCATGTGCCATGTGTCAGTCATACATGCAAATCGGATATAGTGATGCACCGGATATAGTGATAAATTATCGAAAATCAAAGGGGCACGTTATATCCACTATTTACTGTACACTGTCAGCAAATAAGCCTGGTTTAGTATTGACACTTCTACATAGAGATAGGTGGTTTGAATAGAAGCCTGACTTGAATAGAAGCATAGCACTGATATCGGCTTCAACAGGAATAAGCATGGCTTTTATACGCTGCATTACGATACTTACCTCGTTCACTCGCAGTACTGGCTGCACAAGCTGCTCCACTTGGCACAGTACGGTCGGGCGATAGATGTTCCAATGACTTGCTACGCTCGGACAGCGCGCCGGATCGGCCAGGGCTGTGATCGGCGCGACCGAGCGACGACGCTGACGTCGATGCCAGCCCACCTGATGTCATCCCTTCTGACGACGCGGTTGCCATGGCACCCAGTGATGATGACAATGGCGCCGTTGCCATTGACAACTTCACGGCGGAGGGCGCTGCCGATGATGCAACCCTGGATGAGCACTTAGCAGCTAGTGATGAGGAAGCAGAAGGAGTAGCAGTAGCAGCAGCAGCAGTAGCTCCCTCTGTAACAAAAAGGCACATAACCAATTCGAATAGAGCAAGAGTGGCAATTTAGCAGCAGAATTCTGCACCAGTAAGCCAGTTGCAAGGCCAAGAGAGGGACAGAGAAGATCCAGTTCAAACATTACATTTTATAAACATGATAGCATTCAAAAGTATTAGTATACCAGAGAACGATGCGAGAATGAGGCGACGGTAAGCCCCAAAGGAGGGTGTGTCAGGATAGTGCTAGGGCTGTTATTGTACTGGACAATCAATACCACACAGTCATAATCAACCTCGTGAATAACGACCCTGGATTGTGGAAGAAAAATTATTTCTCTCTTAGGCCACACCGTTTTTTATCTATGTTTCGCGTCCCCCGCGCGCATGTATTTCACAGCCGGAGTGCAAAAAAAAAAAAAAAAACGGAACAATTTTTTTTTGAAAATGCATTACAGTCAGACCTCGCTTAACCGCACACATCTGTTTTCCACAAAAACATCCGGAAAGGCGAGGTATTAAACCGGATAACTGAACACACATACTGTATACTGTATAGCAGGAAATTTTCGGACGGAATTTATTTTCGTACGATTTCGTACACGGCCTCTTTTGTACTAAAATTAATTCCGTGCTAAAATTTGTTCATGTGAAATTATGTACACTGTACATGGGTACTGCTTGCGAACACGTGCATTCAGCATGCAGCACTGTACGAAAATAAAATCCGTACGAAAGGTCGAAATTCGGCTTTGTCCGAAAATATTTCCGTCCGAAAATTTCCTGGTATACAGTATGCATGTGGCATGTCAAAAGCAGTGACATCGTACATACATGTAGACAGGTCCTATGCAGTACAACTAGCGTGCCCAGTATGTAAAACAAGCGAGAAAAATGACAAGTGCATGCAACGGAGTACTGCTGTCCGCATACACCCAGCAGGTCAAGGACCTCATTTGCTTGTACAACTCCCTGATACTAGCTTCTGCAAGCGCTAGCCAGCCACATGCAACCGGATACGACGAAGCTTTTTGTACACATTTTAACCAGTTTGTACACAAAATCATGCACCGGTATGCGGATAGCAATGTCCGGTTATGTTGTATGCATAACATATGCTGCACATTGGTAACCAGCGATTTTCTTCCGGATGGCGAGGGATCCGGATAAATGAGGACCGGATAAACGAGGTCTGACTGTACAAATTTAATGCAAACCCAGAAAACCGGAAAATGTAACTCAGCTCACACACATGTACATGTACATGTGTGTGTGCAATAAGCTGGCCCGCAAGTCACACAATCATCATGCCACCTGTGCTTGGACCACAAGCATGGCAGAGGGGATACACTCATGTATTCATGTACATGAACAGTGCCGCGTCGCTTCACTGTACACAAATGCAATGCACGTACACTGTTTTTTTTTTTTTTTTTTCGCCCTCCCTCATTGATTTCATCGAATGAGGTGACGCGAAACATAGAAAAAAAACGGCGTGGCCTTACACAATCGAGGGGCGTTATTCGCAAGGCTGATACTGTCCAGACACTAGGTCTGAAAACTGTGTCATAGTTGGCAAGATGTTGTTACACCCGAGGTCGTTATTCACATGACCGGCTTGTGTACGTTGTAACACGTGTGTGTGTGTGTGTGTGTGTGTGTGTGTGTGTGTGTGTGTGTGTGTGTGTGTGTGTGTGTGTGTGTGTGTGTGTGTGTGTGTGTGTGTGTGTGTGTGTGTGTGTGTGTGTGTGTGTGTGTGTGTGTGTGTGTGTGTGTGTGTGTGTGTGTGTGTGTGTGTGTGTGTGTGTGTGTGTGTGTGTGTGTGTGTGTGTGTGTGTGTGTGTGTGTGTGTGTGTGTGTGTGTGTGTGTGTGTGTGTGTGTGTGTGTGTGTGTGTGTGTGTGTGTGTGTGTGTGTGTGTGTGTGTGTGTGTGTGTGTGTGTGTGTGTGTGTGTGTGTGTGTGTGTGTGTGTGTGTGTGTGTGTGTGTGTGTGTGTGTGTGTGTGTGTGTGTGTGTGTGTGTGTGTGTGTGTGTGTGTGTGTGTGTGTGTGTGTGTGTGTGTGTGTGTGTGTGTGTGTGTGTGTGTGTGTGTGTGTGTGTGTGTGTGTGTGTGTGTGTGTGTGTGTGTGTGCTCAACCCCCCATGGGGTCCGCATAGCCAGAATATGGCAGCGCGTCCAAGGTCCAAGGTCCAAGGTGTGTGTGTGTGTGTGTCACAGTCAGTCTGTCTGTGCCACTTTCAGCTTGTTGCCAGCAGCACTGCCCAACATGTCAGCGATGCTTCCGTTCTGCGGCCGGGTTCAAGCGTCACAACTGCAATCGTGGTGCGAGACCATCTGCTGCTGAGACAGCAGCTCTGCCCCTCAGCTGCCCACATTGTAAACGCAATTTCCGCCGGCAGCAGGACCTAGCCAGACATTCGCGGTTCTGCCTGTGATCCGGCTCCCGTTTTCTGGTCCCCTTTTCATAGGGGTGACACTTGCCCATCTGGGCAGTCATGCTGCTAGTAGTAGTAGTGTGTGTGTGTGTGTGTGTGTGTGTGTGTGTGTGTGTGTGTGTGTGTGTGTGTGTGTGTGTGTGTGTGTGTGTGTGTGTGTGTGTGTGTAAAGAGAAACGGATCTATACAACCAAGCACTAACTACTCAACTCAGACAGCGTATGCATGTACTGTACAGTGCATGTACCTGCTTGCTGGAAAGTCACAGTGTGCATCTCCATATCTGCAAGACGCCGCAGACCCTGACACTGGCCGTTCTTCTCCATGTCTTCGGCCGATGCCATGGCGACGTCTGAGAGCCGAAAAGCCAGTCGGCACAGAATAAGAAAAGCTAGCATGAGGCATGTGTAACGAGAGTGATATGCGAGTGTGCTGCGCGAGCACGCAGCCTTCTAGCAGCGAATAAGACACAAAAGAGTCTGCGTCCACACCCGCAGAAGTAATAATTACAACTCGCAGCATTGCTAGTTATGACTCAATGAATTTTGTTCAGCTGTTTCCTGCTATTCGACTACAAATTGTACGTGTACGTGAAATCTTCACAGCAAGCATGCCTAATTATATATACTATAAAGAAGAGGCACCTGTGACGTGTGTGTGTGTGTGTGTGTCACGCAGAAGCGCTGCAGAGCAGCGCTGCCCTGAGCACGCGAAGCGTGCGAACAGTGTAGCTAGCGGCCGCAGAAGCACTGAGCATACGAAGCGTGCGAATCGTGTAGCCACCACCACGTGCTGAGCACGTGTGCTGTTCATGTACTTGCTTCACCCGCATGCCACGTTCGGCCAGGCAACGCTGGCCTGGTGCTGCTAGTCGTGTATAAATGTGAAACTCGGAGTTGTAACAGGTTTTCCTCTCTCTCTCTCTCTCTCTCTCTCTCTCTCTCTCTCTCTCTCTCTCTCTCTCTCTCTCTCTCTCTCTCTCTCTCTCTCTCTCTCTCTCTCTCTCTCTCTCTCTCTCTCTCTCTCTCTCTCCCTCTCTCCCTCTCTCTCTCCCTCTCTCCCTCTCTCTCTCCCTCTCTCCCTCTCTCTCCCTCTCTCTTTACTGTGTGAAAGAACCTCTTCCTCATCCAGGCCATACAACACTGCTAGGGCAATGGCGCACCCTGCTTGCGCACGTAAATGAATAATGCACATGTTACGTGTGATGTAGCTGAACAGGTTCCCCAAGCCAGTTAGTATCACACCGAGCCAAGAATTGCAGCCTCCGTTGCGTACACGGACACTAAAATACTGCTATTTCAGAAATTTCCTTCAGCAACGAGCAGAAAGTCAAGCGTTTCAATGAAACATTTCAATGACCCGGTATAGATATATTTTTGCATCGTACAGATGAGCCGAGGTCAAATAGTCGCTTGAGGGGACTACGGGAACAATTAGCCAATGCCTCATAGTGCAAATACCACCTGGCTCTGGAACAGAACATAAAGGGACTGATCGACTTCGAAATAGATACTGTATTGTGCTAGGTAACAGCACAAACTGAGTAAACTGCAAGTATTCGGTGAACACAAATAATTGAGAAGTTGTGTTACCTTTCAGGAAAAATTCATCCACTGACTTGGGAACTGGGCTACTATCAGCCACCTCCAACCGAACTATTATACCTGGCTTCAGGTTATCTTCAGACGAGCCTATGTCTTCTTCGCCTTTCTTATCCATTTCTCTCCATTGAAATTCTTTCGAAAAAGTACTGAGCTGTATTCATTCACAGAAGTACAAAATGCCAAGAACATGACGTCGTTGTGTTGGTCTACATGATTGTACACGTCTACGCTACACTGTCATCGCGTCGTCATCTACTGATCTAGCATCTGGTCATGCATGAATGCCATGACGGCAGCGATCAACAGACAACACTCGGTATGTCTCGCGTCGAGGTGTCCCAGGCCCTGGCGAGATCCACAAAATCTCTGGTGGGCAGCGCCGAACTGCAATGAAAGCGAGACGAGTTTGCTAAACCTAGTAGAAGTAGAATAGTACATGTAGTAGAATTTATTATTTTGATAGGGAAGCTTGCAAACAGTTCGCCGCAGACATGTCCGTGCAAGGTAACCTGGCTGACACATGCCCGGATAGCAATAGTGCGAACATACACCAACCAGGACGCAACCATGGCAACAGGAGCTAGACATAGCATTATGACAAGGACAAACACTGATATACCATGATATACCCCTCATATCAACAAACCCATGTGTTCTCGCAGAACGATCATGAACAATGTAGTGCGGTTCAGCGATGCACTCCGACTGAAATCTTCGGCCCACCGTTTGTGCCCGACCACCCGATAGTACATTGCAAATGTACTGCGTTCTGTCTTAGCGGTTCTGCTACCTGACTTTCCATCCGGCGGCATGTCGAGAGGGCGACTCCTATCAAAGAGGCCAGAGGCGACGATTTAGCTGGTAAGCACTGATTAGCGGTTCCCTCCGACCGGACTGTGTAGATCACAGTGTTGCACCGTTCTTCTAGCCAGACCTCTGCTGCTACATTATGCATGTCATCGTGTGCACAATCATCGCAACGCTACTGTGACCCAAGCAAAGAGAGCAATAACTCCGGCAGAACATACACTGATACAGTGCTCATTGAGCTGCTCAGCCCAAACCGAGAATCAACTTCAATCAAGCCAAGTACTTCACATGATGTCATAATACCCATGTGATGCTGTCATACCCACAGCTAGTTATCAAGTATCAAGAACATCTTCGGATTGCCGGTGTCATGTACTGTCGCGGACATGGAAATCCAGTCGATCGACCGGGGCCGGCGCCCTCAGCGCGTACAGAACGCTGTGTGCAGTGCACATGTTGATTCGATGCGACCAGCGCGCTGCAGCGCATAAAATCCGTGTGTATACTAATAGTACCCCTACGGCTGCATAGCCAGCGCCCTGCGACCGGATTTCCATGTCCACGACAGTACATTGTTGTAAGTTAGGCTGGCCGTTTCATCACGGGTAAGAGTCAGCGACGAATTAGAAATAAGCATGTAATACAATGTTTACAAAGATGGCAAAGAGAAGAGGTGATAAACAAGTGCAACAAGCGTCAGTAAAGACCACTGCCAAAAGACAGAACCGCCAGTCAACAAAGGAATAAAATAAAGGTCGCCGCCACGGGAGTAGGGAACTGAATGGTAGCAGAGAAACATAGGGCGGTTTCAAAAGCAGTCACGGCCAGGGAGTCGTAAAATACCGGTATTTTACGACTCCCTGGTCACGGCTAAGGAATTCTGCACCGGTAACATGACACTACTGAAACTCAAGATTACAGATGCGATCGAAAGACTCTTTTACGGACTACATATGTGGGAGATCAAGCGGCAACGCGCGTACCGGAATGGAGGAGAAAAGGGTTAAAAGTGGAACTGGCCACTCAATTCCAATAATAATAATAACCTAAAGGCCCCAAAGCAGGAGCTAACGGGCACGGGGAGTGGAAAGTTCACTGAATGTCGATATCATGCTTATGAAAAGAAGCAGCGGCATCGATTGTAATCGTGAGCCGAAAACAACTACAGTAATGGTCCAGAGCCTGAAGACTCCGCCGGTGCAGTTAATCAATGGTAGAGAAATGACACCGAAAGGCACCGCCCCAAACTACTGAATAATTAAAAAAATAAATTGAAATGGAAATCTCGAGGCTCACGGCAGCCAAATAGAGTATAACGAGTAGCAAAATGTCACCGATGGGGAGAATCCACCACTAACGACTTCTTCAAGGGAAACGCACTGGAGGATAACATTGGTGGGGTATGAAGTATTATCATTATCAATTACTCAACGAATTTACATTGGAAACTTGAATCAACATTCTAAAATCAACATTTCACTCATAAAGTAAGAAATGTGTTGCTAAAGGCAGAGACAGTGAACTGACGTGAGTGCGAACTTGAAGTAATTTCACACCGCTATGTTCAGGTCTCAATATAGAAATATGATCGCAACAGATGTGTCAGTGACACTTCTACTTCACTAAAACATGATATAGAAAGAGAGAGAGAGAGAGAGAGAGAGAGGGGGGGGGGGGGGGGGGGGGAGAAGGAGGGGGGGGGGGGGGGCATGTGTCCAAACGGCTTCGTAGAAAAATGGCAGCATCTAAAATCACCGTTAAAATCACCCCATCGCTCATCTCTGCCAGCGAGGTGATCGTGTTAATTTTAACACGGTAACAGGCGGCCGTCCAGTACAAACCCTCAAGAGCACAGCCAGCACATCACACTCACAGCAGAGGCGGCGGTGGTGCAAACCGCAGCTCCACAGCTTTGTCGTGGTAGAAGGAGACGGCCGGTATGACGGGAACTTTGACGTTATCGAACGCCACGCCGAGACTGTGGCCGTTGTGATAGAACTCCAGTGTGCCCGTATCCAGGTCTAGAAGAACGCCCACGGTATCGCCTAGGATACAACACAGGAGATAGTGGCGACATGTGCATGCACATACACATACGCACATACGCACACACGCACACATGCACATACACATACGCACAAGCACATACATACACACACGCACACATACGCACAAGCACACACATACACATGTTGTAATACATTATTGTGTGTAAGCCTTGTGTACATGCTGTTGGTGCATGTGCGTATTGCTGTTGTGAGGGTCCAAAGTGAAACCCTTGCCGCAGCTTTAGATGCATCACTAGTCACTACAACATATTTACCTACAACACATTTTCTGAGTTGACAATGCCCCCACCCCGCAACCCTTTTCAATGGCCAGTGACATACTGTGACGAAGAAATAGAGCACTGCATTTTTCGCTCTAGCAGATAGAATTCGAATAGGTGTGTGAGTCTATGTACGTACGTGTGTATGCGCACGTGTTTGTGTGTGTGTGTCTGTGTGTGCGGGCGTGCGTGCGTTTGCGTGGATGGGTGTGCCTGTCTGTGTGTACATGCATGTGTGAACATGTGCATGTGTGTGTGCCTGTGTGTGTTGCCTACCTTCAGAGCATCGTCCGTGCGCGCCGGTACCGGCGTACTCGCTACCCCAGCTGGTGGTCGTCACTGAACTGACTTTCTTGCCCTGTGCCGTCACGTAGCCCCAGGACGACGCGCTCATGCCGTGACGCAAAATGCCAATGGTTGCCTTGTCGCGTTTCCACACCGTTTCGGGAACCTTGGCCGCCACAACACCGACGACCACCTTCCAGTTACGACTGGGTTCGCCGTACTGTTTCAGCACACACTCCCAGTAGTGGCAACCTACACCAGTAAACAACAGATCAAGGGTGTGTGTGTGGGGGGGGGGGGGGGGGGAGTGAAAACAACAAGGATATCAGCATGAACAAGAAGAACAACAAGAGCAGTAGCGGCAACGACGGCTGTGATTACGACGACAACGACCATAAAGAGTAAGACAAGGATGCAAGAAAGCTTCAGCAGCTAGTGCAGCTATCACATTCAAGCTGCTATCACAATGTCATAACTTGATCAGTGACCTTAGCCAGTGCTTGCTCATCAATGGGAGCACAATCCAGGAGAAGCGTAAACAGCCCCCCCCCCCCCCCCCCCCCCCCCCACAACACACACACACACATGCACGCACGCACACACACGCACCCCCCCCCCCCCCCACCCCCACACACACACATACCGTACCTTTGTCCAGCACCGTGTCAGCACCAACGGTTACCCAGAAGCGATTGGATCCTATGCTGGCGGTCAGGCAGTCATCACTGATTCTCACTTGACGATGACAAGTACGTGTGTTCCATGTGAATGCTGTATAGTAAACATGAAAACAAATGAAAACAAACATTAGAGGCTATGCGACTACATGATCAGTTGAGATTCTTTCCCCATGATATAAGCGGCTCTGGAATCCTGTGGACTCATCAATCATCATGACTTCTTTCACATACCCGCGGTAACCTCTATTGCACATTTTCCCCCAGGTATCCTGGTCATTCAAGAAGAAACACAAAAAACACTGAGGCTTCCACACATGATGACTTACACCACGCAGCAATGCAGGACAAAAGGCTAGCAGGTAATGGGCCCAGGGGCCATCCTACCCTGTCCTGGGGCCAAGTAATTACGGGGTCAACTTACCCGGTCCGGGATCAAGTAATCATGGGGCCATCCTACTCGGTCCTGGGACCAGGTAATCATGGGGCCATCTTACCCGGTTCTGGGACCAATTAATTACGAGGTCATCTTACCCGGTCCTGGGACCAAGTAATCTTGGGGGCCATCTTACCCGGTCCTGGGATGGCAATCCGGGTGAGCGGGGACCACGGGCCCTGTCCGGCACGACTGCACACGGCCACGCGGAAGCCGTGCTCGGAGTTGGGCGGAAAGTTGTGCTTGAGATCGAACGTGCGGTTCTTGCCACGGTAGACGGTGAAGTGCGCCTCGCGGTACTTGCTGCGCTCGCGAGACGACAGGCCGCTGGTGGCGATGTGCGACTCCTGACGCTGCACGGACCTGCCAGGGGGGTCACCACCCGTGGCAGTCTGACCGTCTTGCATAGCAGTAGCGGTGGAGGATGCGGCCGCGGCAGCAGCGGCTTTGCGGTACGACGCCGGCGACTGCAGCACATCGAACGGCGACGATGACGTCATTCCCGAAGCACCTGCCGTCGGAAGGAATGAAACGAGAAGATGAGAAGGCTTTTACTGACAGATTCTATAACACCATACATACAATGTTATCAATCAATCTTCATGCACCAAAGTGCAGTGTATCACACGTTCGCTCCTGGATCAAGCGGAATCTCGTCGTACCAGGACAGTTTCCGCTGCACCAAGGGCAAGGACGTCCGGTCAGGGCAGATTTTAGAGGCAGAAAATTTCGTCGGTCTATAATTTCGTCCAACTCAAAAGAAAGGGAGTTGAAAGTTTCGTCCATGGATCATAATAGTGTATAGAAAAGCTGGACAGATCGACATTCAACAATCGACGAGGAGACAATAGTCGTAAAATGGCAATAAATAAGATAAATTGTGCACTCATAACAACAGCAAAAATGAAGAAAGTCAAGTTCCATAACGTTTTCTTGTGACTGATATTCACATATTGCAAAGGTGCAAACTTCGCTTTTTGTACTTGTTAGCTGCTGTATTTCTACCTGAAACCATATTAGCTACATGTACATAAGTGTGTGTTTTAGTTATTACATTTTTATGTGACGGCGTTCCACTGATGACAGTCACAAGAAAACGTTATGGAACTTGACTTTCTTCATTTTTGCTGTTGTTATGAGTGCACAATTTATCTTATTTATTGCCATTTTAGATCGACATTAGTCCGGCATTTAATTTAGTCCAAAAGTTCCTTGGACGAAAAAGACGAAATTGAATTCCAGACGAATAATTCTGCTTATACACTGTTGCTCTACCTGCAGTCGCAGCAGCCTCCAGGGTGAGCTCCTTGCCAGCGCTGGACACTGGCGTCTTGACGATGGTCGTCGTGGAAGTGTTTTGATCGCACACCACAACGCTCATGACCTCTGCGTCGTGCTCACCTGTAACGGAAGAAAAAACAAATTCACAGTTCGCCGTTATACAGGTCTACCCTCGTTAGTAGAGAAACCCCGGGGGGTTCAAACTGTTTGTCTTATAATGAGTATTATCTACTATCCGGACGTGTACGCATTTCAGGCGTCAGGGCCCAGAGGATTTGGGATTGTCGTCTACTAACGGGGTTTACCTCGTAACCGATGTCGTACTAACGGGGGTAGACCTGTACTCGGTTGGACTGAGCTTTCTGCTTTCTACTAGGCTGCATAGCATTAGGCTGGACTACTAGGCTGCATAGCATTAGGCTGGACTACTAGGCTGCATAGCATTAGGATGGACTACTAGGCTGCATGGCATTAGGCTGGACTGCACTGGGTTAACTGGCCACACGTACATTGATTGGGTTGAATTCGACCAGTTCCACCTACAGTCAACTTCGCTAATAACGACTGCGGATATAACGACAATTCTGGAATAACGACAGAATGTCCATGCCCGAGCAAAGTCCCATCCAACTGTAATACATATAATGAGACTTCGGGTATAACGACACTTCGCGAATAAGGACACTTTTCTGATGCCCCGCCGAGTATCGTTATACGCGAAGTTGACTGCACTAGGCTGCATAGCATTAGGCTGGACTGCACTGGGTTAACTGGCCATACATACATTGATTGAGTTGAATTTGCCTAGTTCCACCTACATGCAAAGCACAACACCATGCCAGCTATGTCATGAGTCATGACACTACAAAGGCTATTACTGCACTTCACTGTAGCGGCTAGACTTGATCTAACACAGTCCTTACCTTCATCAACGGACGACCGCCTTAGGTCCTTCAGCGACAACGGTCCGCCATTATCAAGAGAGGTGGGGGCGGGTGCGGACACGGACCTTGGCATGCGCATCGCACCGCCGAGAGACAAATTGCTGCGTAGGGGCAGAGAGGCATGCACGCCGACCTTGGAACCGATCGGCGGAGTCCCAACTAGCTGCTGCCCAACGGGATGAAGCGAAGCTGGCCTGTCGAGAGGATCGGATTCGACGCGCACTGCTCGGCTCTCCACAGCATCGTGGGAGGCCCTGGACTCCGATCTCCCGCCGCGCAGATCACTCTCCCTGGACCCCGGACGGCTGGAGACCAGAACCTCGTCGGGAGCGCACGCTGGCATTTCGGCAACCGCTTGGTGCGGTAAGAGAGAGTCACCGCTAGCTGCCAAGTCCTTGAGTGTTAACGAAGAGGCAGCGGTGGTGGTGGAAGTGGCGGTGGAGGTGCTAGATGATGTTGCCGATGCCGGCGAGCTGGGTGGAAGGAGCTTGACGGCGAGCGGCTCGATCGTGATGCCTAGCAGCCGTAAACACACACAAATGCGTGCACACACATGCACACACACACACATACACACACACACGTGCACGCGCACACACACACACACACACGGACGTGCATGCAGGCATACAACAAAAACAAAATTCACACACAAAAAAGCTGCAAAACAAGTCACACAAAACAGCATAGCAACACACAACCCTTTTTTACTTGAACAACTGCCTTCTATCATCAGCCCGAGGTGGTTCGTGTAACCAAGAATAACACCTGGAGACAACTGGGTACTGTAAGACCAGTAATGTTAATGCACAATTAATTCTAAGGAGTGAAATTACTCTGATGATGGGCCAGGCCCGAAAATTTGGTGTAATGTAAATTTTAATTTTGGTTTGAATTGCAGTGAAGAGACCGTTTTTGGAGTTGAGAAGTGAAGTTTAAGAGTGAACGAATATGAAAGAATCGTTACATTTATGTACATATACAGTCATTTGCCGGTTTTGAGACGGAATTCGTTAGAATTTCACCTCGTTAAACCCACAAAAATCCGGAGATGGTTAACTTTAATTGACGTTAAAATATCTGGTCTTACAGTAGTTCTGAGGCTCATCTGTAAGGCTTACCTGTCCTCTGACCCGGTCCCGGCAGCGGAATACCAGACTGAGTGAGCGTCATACCGGTGGCGGACGATGGCGATGGCTTGTCACGTCTCATGTCGAACAGGACGGTGGAATCCGACTCGTTCAGATCGTCCAGGTCTTCGATGTCGTCATCCTCCTCCATGTCCTCCTCACCTGATACACACACACGCACGCACGCATACACACACATGCACACAGACATACATACACACACACACACACACACACACACACACACACACACACACACACACACACATACACACAAAGCACACATGAATACATACCGTATTTCCCCAAGTTTACATGCAAGTCGCACCTTTTCCTTTTTAAACTTCAAGGGCAAAGAAGAGGTTGCGACTTACAATCCAGTGATACTTCCTACTTGTGTGAATGTAAAGTTACTGAAACAATACGGCTCAAACTTGAAAATGGGTCTACTAGCACATACACTACATAGCTGTCAATATTCACAAGTACATTTGTACACACAAAGGCGACGGGAGGCCTGCCGCTTGCACATCATCACGGAGCACATACCGGAGAAATGATCCTTGACATAGGCAATGCGCTGCTGTCGACTCAGGCCTTCGCCGGTGGTGGTTGCTGCAGTGCTGCTAGGCGGTCTCACACCACGTGGCAGGGAAATGCTCGGCTGGCGAGCACTGGCTAGAAGGGTGGCATAACGGTCCGTATCTTCTTCGGCAACATCTGCAGCTACACAGGACATAGGACAGTGAGAACACTTGTTTCGTTCTTTGAACTGATTTTATGTACAGTGTACGCACACGACTTCAACAAAAATGAAAAGGCCAAAATGCCCTCAATAATAATACTAATTATTGGTTTCGTGGAGAAGGATAGTGATTTTCAGGTACACAGAGTTGTGCGCCGTTCTTTTCTCTTTCTAAGATTAAAACAATCAACTGCAACATTGTTGCTGTGCATTGTTGATAGCTAGCGGTCTGAGAATAGAACACAGATGCTTCTCAATCAAGATGTGTATTACATACCGGTGGTTTCAGTGCCGTTCGCCGCAGCAGAAGTACTATTTCCCACGACATCTACACTGCCAGCGCCGCGCACCGTCGGAGGAGAAGACACGATCATGGCCGAGCCCGGAGACGAGGGAGTTACGGTGGCCGACACCACCTCGCTGGGTTTGCTCGGAGTCGTCGGAAACCTTGCCTCCGTACCCGAGTAAGTGACCATACGCATGACTTCGCCGTCGGCTGTACGCACGACGTCATCGTCATCCGGCGCGGGGCCATTGGCCGGGGTGGCGGTTTCCTTGGCGATCCAGCAGATGTGCTCGACGCGGTACTCCAGTAGCGGCAGGTCGGGCATGTCCACCGCGGACCAGAATATACGTATGGCGTGTAGGTACGGTGTGCAGTGGCATGGCGACACGGCAGGGGGCACTGGAGAATTAGAATTGTAGGACACGCGAGCACGTACAGGTGCACACACAGATACAGAGAGGGAGAGAGAGAGAGAGAGAGAGAGAGAGAGAGAGAGAGAGAGAGAGAGAGAGAGAGAGAGAGAGAGAGAGAGACACACACACACACACACACACACACGCACACGTCAGTATTACCCGTGATACGCCTCTGGGCAGTAAAGTGCCCTGTCAGCCTGGTATCCTAGTCATTCCTAGACTTACGCGTAGTCGTGGTGAAGCTACTACTTCATACCGAAGTTTCACTACATGTATTGTGTATGATGTCATTGTGAGTCATAGCTTATCAGAGATTAACGCTTGCTGTACGACGTCATAC